ACAGGAAGTAGCTCACAGACCAATCAGAGAACAGTCCAGTACATCAAAAAGAAGATCAGTGAGAATGTGTCTCCAGAGAAAAGCATCAATCTGTTCCACTGTCTGAATGAACTGAATGATCGTTCTCTAGTGGAGGAGATCCAACAGTCCCTGAGTTCAGGACTTCTCTCCACAGATGAACTGTCTCCTGCTCAGTGGTCAGCTCTGGTCTTCATCTTACTGTCATCAGAAAAAGATCTGGACGTGTTTGACCTGAAGAAATACTCTGCTTCAGAGGAGGCTCTTCTGAGGCTGCTGCCAGTGGTCAAAGCCTCAAACAAAGCTCTGTAAGTACAGAGAGAGATTCATATATCATAACTTAAATACTTTATCTTTTCCACATATTGCTTATTTTTTCTTAATCATTGTCTCGTCAGGCTGAGTGACTGTAACCTCTCAGAGAGAAGCTGTGGAGCTCTGTCCTCAGTTCTCAGCTCCCAGTCCTCTAGTCTGAGAGAGCTGGACCTGAGTAACAACGACCTGCAGGATTCAGGAGTGAAGCAGCTGTCTGCTGGACTAGAGAGTCCACACTGTGAACTGAAAACTCTCAGGTCAGAATTCATCAACATTTTCAATTAATGTCCTCTCAAGTCCTGACTTAGATTCATAGATAAACTCGTAACCTGTATAAGATGCTGTTTGTATTATTTCAATCAATATTTTAGTCTCAGTATATTTTCATGAACATTTATATTACTGTTTTTTCTCACTCTGTTATTACAACTTAAATTATCAGAGGAGAATCAGAGAGTTAGCAGTAATGTTGTCAGATTGTTGATGGATATTTGTGGGTGTTTGGTTGTGACTAGAAAATAATCAATAGCAATGTTAATGTAACCCCACAGTAGCCAACATCATCTCAGTACTGCAGTAACCTTACAGCCCTCACAGTTTCCTCAGATTATGTGACATGTGTGTTGTTTTGTGTGTTTGCAGCCTGTCAGGCTGTCTGATTACAGAGGAAGGCTGTGCTTCTCTGGCCTCAGCTCTGAGCTCCAACCCCTCCCATCTGAGAGAGCTGGACCTGAGCTACAATCATCCAGGAGACTCAGGAGCGAAGCTGCTGTCTGCTGGACTGGAGGGTCCACAATGGAGACTGGAAACTCTCAGGTATGAAGAGGCCTGCTGCAGCCACAGAAAATCAGTCTGATAGAGGAGGTAGAGCTGGAAACATTTTCTCTTTCACACTGTCAGCCTGGTAAATATGACCCTGACATACCAAGCTGACCTCAAACTACCAGAGACTCATCAAACTGTTTATATCCCACTTCAGACGATCAATACAGACAGAAGTAGTCAGGGAACAGTAGCCAAGATGAGCCAAAACAGGGAGGGAAGGTGATGAAACTGTTGTTTTTCTGGAGCGTTGTCTTGTTTCAACATTAGAAAATAGGACAGTGGTGTATCCTGACACGTCGATGGGCATCATGGTGGGTTGACATGCGTCAACGTCGTCACGCTGCAGGTTTCTTGGCTCATATCAAACAATAGATGATGTTTTGATGCTCGTGTGTGTTGCCCTTTAGTCCAGACATTATTGTGAAAAGACAAACCGACAGAAACAATCTGTTCAAACCGTCTTGATAAATCATCACAATAGGAATTTTTTTCTGTTTTAAAGGAGTTCAGCTTTACTTGGTTGTTTTGCACTGAGAGCCAGTTCTCTGGCTGATCAGAGTCGACTTGTTGAAACTACAGGTGACAGTCGGCCACAGATGCTCAGTGAAGAACCAACAGCTGATTGTAGACATGTGTCACAGCCCAAAGAGGTTTATTTAGGACTGGACCACAGTTATAGGGGGACACAGGCTCTGTGGCTGCAGACGGACTTGAACTGTAATATTTTCAACCTCAGATTACAGATAATAGAAATCAGTGTTGACTGTTGACGGGATGTGAACAGCAGTGTCAAAGTCAGACACTTTGTACATCCAACCATCCACCCCGACCTCCTCCATCAGAGGGTTTGTGGCGCTGTAGTGATTTCAGGCTACTTTCTCCTTTACTTCTGAGAGACAACAGTCAGACCAAAACATCCAACAATCAATACTTCTATATTGAAAATTGATCAGCTGACTCTGTGTAACGGTGAAGAGTCGTGTGGTGGTGATGAACCCACAGAGAATTGTCTCCGTCTCTGCAGCTCTACAGAGCTTTTCAGCCTCTTTTAGCTCATAGTTTTGGTTCTGTAGCACATTTCCTGTTTGGTTCAGTCTCGGTGTTTCCAGCAGCAGCTGTTTTGATCCAACAAGCTGTGATGAAGCCACTGTTCACTACCTGCTCAGCAGCAAA